GCCCCTTGTCCTGGCCCTGGACACCCCTGAGCAGAGTCTGGTCCCCCCTCCTGCCACCCCCTGGAGATATTGATCAGCACTGAGGAGATCCCCCCTCAGGCTCCTCTTCTCCAGCTGAGCAGCCCCAGCTCTCCCAGACTTTCCTCACAGCCAGATGCTCCAGCCCCTGGGCATCTCAGTGTCCCTGGGCTGGACTCTCTCCAGCAGCTCCTTGGCCTTGAGGAACCCAGAACTAGACCCACTTTCCCAGATGAGGCTTCATCAGGGCAGGACAGAGGGGGACAAAAAGAACCTCCTTGACCACCCGGCCACGCTCTTCTCCACACACTCTCCCCAGGTGGGATCTCCACAGATGGGATCTCCCCAAATGGGATCTCCCCAGGTGGGATCTCCCCAGGTGGGATCTCCCCAGGTCAGAGGAGCACCAGAACCTCCCTGCCCCTCAGAGAAGGGGGTTTAACCCACCCCTCAGCTCACCCCAAACCTTCCCTCCCAGCTGCCCCCGACCTGGTGCTGAACGCGGAGCTGGTGGAGCAGACAGCCTACCTGGAGGACCGGCCCATGTTCATGCTGCAGTGTGCCCTGGAGGAGAACTGCTTGGCCAGCTCTGCCACCAACACCTCCCTGACCTCGGGCTACCGCCGCCTCCTCCGCTTCTCCTCCCAGATCCACAACAACGGCCAGTCCGACTTCCCGCCCCGCAACCGCCGCCGCCGGGGTCTGGCCCGACTGCCCCAGGTGGGTGACACCCCCAGGGGACCCACACTCCTGGAGGAGACCCCTCGGAGGTCCCCGAGCCCTGTTTTCCACCCACAAAGCCACCCCACGCAAAGCCGCGGCCCCGGCGTCCACCCCCCCTGCTCCCTGGGAGGTGCCACGTGGGCAGGTTTCTTGAGCCCTTCCAGGGGTGGTGACCCCGCCTGTGCCAGGGTCTGAGCTGCCTTTGGGTGAAGAGATTCCTCCTAATAGCACAGATTCATCGAATCACAGAATGGTTCTGGTTGGAGAAGACCTTTAAGATCATTGAGTTCAACCACAACCCAACTCTACCCACCACAACCCAACTCTTACATTCACCCCTGGAATAAAGTCTTGGCATCTTTGATACACAATTTTACGTTTAACTTTCAAAGATAGCAAAGAGGTATTTTATTCACTAACTTTGTAATAAAACTGCAACTTTGAGGGCAAAATTTAAACTTTTCCCTCATTAAGACAAGGCATGTATTCTACAGACCTTGACATGCTTGAAGATAAACAAATCCTTAAGTATTCGGTTGAACTGGGACTTAACCTGCAGTTCTCTTAGAACTTAGAAGCAGACATACCTTTCCCTGACTCGTTGGTGCATGTCCTTAAGACTATAGTAAAGTCAAAATGTCCCACCACAACCCAACTCTACCCACCATTAAACCAACTCTACCCACCACAACCCAACTCTACCCACCACAACCCAACTCTACTCACCACAACCCAACTCTAACCACCACAACCCAACTCTACCAACCATTAACCAAACTCTACCAAGTGCTTAAACCATGTCCCTCAGCACCACATCCACGTGCCTTCTGAACACCTCCAGGAATGGGGATTCAACCACCTCCCTGGGCAGCCTGTTCAGTGTTTGATCACCCTTTCAGTGAAGGAGTTTCTCCAATCTAAACCTCCCCTGGGGCAACTTGAGCCCATTTCCTCTTGTCCTGTCCAAACCAAGACACTTGCCTGTCTGAATCTGGAAAATCTAGTCTAATGGCCCTAAACTAGGGCAGGGGAGATTTAGGTTGGAGATGAGGAGGGAATTCTTTGGTGTGAGGGTGGTGAGAGCCTGGCCCAGGTTGCCCAGGGAAGCTGTGGCTGCCCCATCCCTGGGGGTGTTGAAGGGCAGGTTGGATGGGGCTTGGAGCAGCCTGGGCTGGTGGGAGGTGTCCCTGCCCATGCAGGGGGTTGGAGCTGGATGAGCTTTCAGGTCCCTTCCCACCCAACCCATCCTATGTACCCACAGTGTGTAGGGAGGTGCAGTCACCTCAGCTCCCTCACCTGGGAAAGGACTCAAGAACTCCTCACAGTTCTGCATCTTTTTCAAGGCACCTCAATCCTCCTGGGGCTGTGGGCACTTGTGGGGCTTTGGTTGGTGCTTCTTTTTGACCAACAGTAAATTGCCCCACATAAATGCATCCTTTCCTCAGGGGGCAGCTGATGGTTTCAGCCCAAGAGAAGCAGGAGGGCAGTGAATTGTCAAACCCAACAGGCTGGTTGAAGGTGACACCTGGAGCTCCTGGGCTGAGGATCAGGAAGGAGACCCAAGAAGGAGACTCAGAACCATCTGGGTGCTTGAAACTGGTTTCTGTTTATAGACAGGAGGATGAACTCAATTCCTGTTCAGTCTTTCCAGCCTGTAAAAAACCACCAGAATGTAAACACCTCTTGGAGTGACTCAGAAATATTTCAGGAACTGAGTCAGACTTGAGAACCTCCAACTTTTCTCAGCCAGATGAGAGAAGTTCCAAGCCCAGAGCTTAGGCCTCTTCCCTCCTCACTGCCTTTTTGATGTGGAAGCAGAACAGAAATGGGGCAAAACCTGCAGCAGGGAGTGCCAAGGGCTGAACTTCTGGCAGGTGGTGGTTTGATTGGTGGTGGTTGAGGGAAAGGCAGGAAGAGGGAAGAGGAAAAACACTCTTCAGAGGGAAAAATTCCTCCCCCCCCTTCTGTCCTTGCTCTTCCTTCAGCTGTAAATCCATGTGATGGGGCAATGAGGAAGTTTTTAAGCCATGATTGTTTTAACAGCTGGAAGGGAGAGGATTTCTGCATTTTGTGGGTATTTTTTGCATCCCAACTGGGGGGCACTGGAGGGTGAGTGGGAGCCTGTGTGTGTGGTTCCCTCACCCCTCTCAGCTGAGCTCCACAGGCAGGTCCTGGTGGCTCTCAGCTCAGTGATCCCAGGCTGGGGCAGAACACAGGGATTTGAGGACTCCTGGGTGCTCCCCTGTTCCCTGCCACCTGCTGGAGCTGTGGGATTGCTCCCAGTTCCAAGGCTGGGATCCAGTTCAGTCTGTTCCCTCAGTGTTTACGTGCCCAGCCATGACCACGTGGAGCACACAAGTGTTTGACTCAAGTGCTTCCAACTGCTTCCTGCTCTCCAAGTCCTCTGGACTTGAACTGGGCTGAAGCACAGGATGCAGTTTTTGCTGAACCAGCAGCATGGACAGAAAATCCTGGAATCATAGCATGATTTGGGTGGGAAAGCAGCTGAAAGCTCATCCAGCTCTAACCCCCTGCATGGGCAGGGACACCTCCCACCAGCCCAGGCTGCTCCAAGCCCCATCCAACCTGCCCTTCAACACCCCCAGGGATGGGGCAGCCACAGCTTCCCTGGGCAACCTGGGCCAGGCTCTCACCACCCTCACACCCAAGAATTCCCTCCTCATCTCCAACCTCCATCTCCCTCTCCCACTTTTCATCCATCCCCCCTTGTCCTCTCCCTCCCTGCCCTTGTCCCAAGTCCCTCCCCAGCTTTCCTGGAGCCCCTTCAGGCACTGGAAGCTGCTCTAAGGTCTCCCTGGAGCCTTCTCTTCTCCAGGCTGAACACCCCATCTGCTGTGAAGTTTTCTGCCAATAAATTGAGATTAAATAAAAAGCAGAAGCACCCCCAGGTTGCTGCTTTGGGTGCAACCAGCTCTGGTTGCAGCACTTTCTTAGGCAGAAGGTGGAATATCTCATGATCTGGTAAATTACAGGCCACCAAAGGGGGATTCTCCCCCTTTACTGGGCTCTCTTGAGACCCCCCTGCAGGGCTGGGGTCAGTTCTGGAGCCTCCAAGATCAGAAGGCCATGGAGTTCCTGGAGAGAGTGCAGAGGAGGGCATGGAGATGCTGGGAGGGCTGGAGCAGCTCTGGAACCAGGCTGGGAGAGTTGGGGTGTTCAGCCTGCCCTGAGGGGTGGCACAAAGTTGAATCTGGGCTCCTTGCCTCCAGGTCATTGTGGCCACTGGACCATCCCTGCCTGGGCAACCCTTGAGAGTGGTAATTAAAAGGTTGTGTGTGTTCCCTGGAGATAATCCTCCCTCTCTGTGCCTTGCAGGCATTACCACAGCATGGAGGTTTTTACCCACTATGATCTCCTGAACCTCAATGGGACCAAGGTGGCTGAAGGACACAAAGCCAGCTTCTGCCTGGAAGACACAGAATGTGAACCAGGTGTGTTGGCCACAGCCCCTTGTGCTGGGAATTTGTTGCTGTCCCCACACAGGTGTGATTGGCTTCCCAGGGGACCTGGCAGGAGCCAAGTCCTGAGGTGGCACCTGCATGGAGAGGTCTCTGCAGGTCAAAGAGAAACCCCCCAAAGCCTCATCTGTGGAGGTGCTCAGCTCCCAGCATCTTACTCTGAGCTGCTCTGGAAACCTACGTGTGCATTTTCTGGTTCCTGGGAGGTGAGAAACGCCCAGAAGTGCCTGTGGGTGCTGAGGGGAGGGAGGTGGCAGCTCCTCCTGAGCAGGTCGACGTTGAGCGAGACGCTCTTGGATGAAACCTCCTCCAGAACCTTGAGCTTGGAGCTTGTCGCTGCTCGTGGGAGCTGGAGAACAACCAGCCCTTCCTCCGAGTGTCCAGCCTGACTTGCTGTGACCCTCACCCCTCCCTCTTCCCCCTCAGATGTCCAAAAACAGTACGAATGTGCCAATTTTGGAGAGCAAGGGATCACAGTGGGATGCTGGGATGTCTATCGGCACGACATCGACTGCCAGTGGATCGACATCACTGATGTCCCACCAGGGGATTATCTCTTCCAGGTAAGGCAGGAGCAGAGGGTTGGAGAGCTCTGGCTTTTGCCTTACCCATCTGGGGTGTCAGGAATGTCATTAACTGGTTTCTTTGCATGTCTCCTACAAAGAGGTGGTGTTCCCAGGATAGCTGAATTACCCAACGGGGCAACAAAGTGGTCCCAGATCTTGTACCTCCCAAGTGAAAACCACAACTTGGAGATACCTTAAGAGCTCCTCATCCAGCTAACACTGACACAAGTCCCACACAACCCCCATGCAGATCCCACAGGGATTATGACCACGTTGTTATCCATGTGCACAGCATCCCACTGCTGTCCTGGACCAGGCGTGGGAGCAGTTTGTAATCAATACCTGCTCCAGGTGGGGATGAAACAGGTCTGCTCTGGGGTTGGCACGTTCTTACAGTCTGCTTGGTGCAAGGGAGGGGGGGGGTTGGGTCTAAAAACAGCCACTTCAACTGGAGAGGAGGGAAGAGGAATTATATTTTGTCTGTTACCCTGGAAAATATAGAGAAATTTAGAGAAGGTGGTTGAGGCTTCATCTCGGTGCGTGGGGGAAGGTGTGATCCAGCTGGCTTTAATCAAGCAGTTTCTGTCCCCTCCCAAAAGAAGTTGGGGTTTTTCTGTCATAAAAAAAAAAAAAAAATAGATCCTGGCCTTTCTGGTTCCTGGGAGGTGAGAAACGCCCAGAAGTGCCTGTGGGTGCTGAGGGGTGGGAGGTGGCAGCTCCTCCTGAGCAGTTTGACGTTGAGTGAGACGCTCTTGGATGAAACCTCCTCCAGAACCTTGAGCTTGGAGCTTGTCGCTGCTCGTGGGAGCTGGAGAACAACCAGCCCTTCCTCCGAGTGTCCAGCCTGACTTGCTGTGACCCTCACCCCTCCCTCTTCCCCCTCAGATGTCCAAAAACAGTACGAATGTGCCAATTTTGGAGAGCAAGGGATCACAGTGGGATGCTGGGATGTCTATCGGCACGACATCGACTGCCAGTGGATCGACATCACTGATGTCCCACCAGGGGATTATCTCTTCCAGGTAAGGCAGGAGCAGAGGGTTGGAGAGCTCTGGCTTTTGCCTTACCCATCTGGGGTGTCAGGAATGTCATTAACTGGTTTCTTTGCATGTCTCCTACAAAGAGGTGGTGTTCCCAGGATAGCTGAATTACCCAACGGGGCAACAAAGTGGTCCCAGATCTTGTACCTCCCAAGTGAAAACCACAACTTGGAGATACCTTAAGAGCTCCTCATCCAGCTAACACTGACACAAGTCCCACACAACCCCCATGCAGATCCCACAGGGATTATGACCACGTTGTTATCCATGTGCACAGCATCCCACTGCTGTCCTGGACCAGGCGTGGGAGCAGTTTGTAATCAATACCTGCTCCAGGTGGGGATGAAACAGGTCTGCTCTGGGGTTGGCACGTTCCTACAGTCTGCTTGGGGCAAGGGAGGGGGGGGGTTGGGTCTAAAAACAGCCACTTCAACTGGAGAGGAGGGAAGAGGAATTATATTTTGTCTGTTACCCTGGAAAATATAGAGAAATTTAGAGAAGGTGGTTGAGGCTTCATCTCGGTGCGTGGGGGAAGGTGTGATCCAGCTGGCTTTAATCAAGCAGTTTCTGTCCCCTCCCAAAAGAAGTTGGGGTTTTTCTGTCATAAAAAAAAAAAAAAAATAGATCCTGGCCTTTCCACCTTGAAATAACTCCCAGGTTGTGTTTCTCCAGGTTGTCATCAACCCAAACTATGAGGTTGCTGAGTCTGATTATTCCAACAACGTGATGAAGTGCAGGAGCCGGTACGACGGGCAGCGCATCTGGATGTACAACTGCCACATAGGTGAGAGGGGCAGGTTCCTGCTCCCTCCTTTGCTCTCTGCTTCTTTTCTCTTCTGCTTCTTCTACCACCAACCTGGGACTGAGCTCTTCAGACCCCAGAGCTTCTCTGTTCTTGGAGAGCAAACAAGGAGGGGAGGGGGTGTGAAGCAGAGCTGGAGAAGATCCCTCTGTTCAAGCCAGAAACGTTCCACTGTCCTTGGAGCAGGAAGGGAAACTCTACATTTTCTTTAATAGTTGTAAAACATCAGCATTTGGAATGGTTTTTTGGTCTTGGAAAGATCAAAGCCAACCTAGTTTCAACATGCATGGACACTCAACTGTCAAGAGCATTTAAAAATGGAATTAATTTGGGGGCTTTGAAAGATAAACTGGTTTTAACAAGGGAAATCATTTAACAGCCAGTGCCTCTTCCAAGTAACACCAGTGGTGGAGACAATTGCCAGAGGTGGCTGGAAGTCCTTCAAGGAGTGTTTTTCCTGGGGGAAAGGAAAAAATAATCCATAGAACTGCTGCTTTTTTTCTCATTAATTTGTTGGTTTTTTTTAAGAAAATCCTCGTGTGTGTCACACTTCAGATGGTGACCTAGTTGAGAAAAACCAAACCCACTTCACTGGGCTGAACAGGCACTTAAGTGTTGGATGGGTCCTTCAGCTGAGCTTCAAAAGAGTGGTATTTAAAAATAAATGTATTTAAGCTTCCATTGCTTCTCAACTAGAGTCAACAGACCCACTTGCCCTCAGCCTGGAGGAGACCTTTTCACAGGTCCTGCTCAGTCATCACCTCATTTTTTTTTAAGCCACAACAATTAGCAGTGAAACTGAGGGTCGTTTCTAGTCTTTCCCATCCAGAAAATGACTCCTGGAGGACTCTTGGCTGGTCCTTTTCTGGCAAGATTTAATGCTTCAGTTCATTAACCCAGGAAGATCTTTGCTCTTCTAGTGTTTGTGTTGAGCCTTTGTTTCCAAAGCACTTTGTGTGGACGAGGTGGTACCTGCCGTGTTCTCTGCCTTGTGTTTCAAGCTGCCTTTGCTGCCTCCTGCTCATCCCTCTGCTCTTTGTGAACCCCCCCAGGTGGCTCTTTCAGTGAGGAGACAGAGCAGAAGTTTGATCACTTCAGTGGACTCACAAATAACAAGGTGTCCACCCGATAGAAGAGCCTCCCACCCCACTATTTAAAGAAGCAAAGTTCCTGCTTCGGTGATTCCCCTCAACCACTGCAAGAAAAATCAAGCAAACAATCAAAACTCTATATTAGCAAGGTAAATTATTGTCTAAAGATGCCTTCCTTCCCAGTTTAGGTGCTCAGGCCACGTGTGTTGCTTTCAACTCCAGCCCCTCCTACTTGAGATAGTCAGGAGCAGGCTCTGAAACTCTTACTTGGCTCCTTCAGCATTCCAACCTTCTCCATAAAGGTTCCTCCTTCCACTTTCCAGTACCATCTATAGTCCCAGGTGTAGGTCCAGGCTGCAGCAAGTCTTTGTTTGGCTGCCAACAACCTAGATCTGTCTTGACTTCCTTCAAGGCTTTGATTCCTTCAAGGCATTAACTTTGGTATCTTCAAGCTCTTGGAACGCACCGTTGATGCCAACGTCTCCGTTGGTGACACAGCTTCTCCAGCACAGCCAATCCTCCCTGCTGCCATCTCACGACTCCATTTTAGCCAAGAAATGCAGGAAAGGAACTAGAATCCAACCAAACACCACAAATTGGAGCAGCTTTTTCTGAGTAGAAGAGCATAAAGCATCATTTAATCCTGCAGTGAAACTCTTGTCAACTCCCAACGCGCGCTCGGGAGCAGAGCAGAACTGTTTTCTCTGGGTGCATCAGGGCCCTGTGGAGCTACAACTCCCTGGTCACACCTAGAAGAACATCTAGAAGAACACCTACCTAGAAGGACACCTACCATCTTTGCAGATCTCCTGATACCGAGTCCACTGGGCTGTGAATTTCCACTCCCCGGGAAGCTGCTCACCCAACAGATCCCAAATCTAAACGCTCCCTTCCCAGCTGGATATTCCCTCTCCTCTTGAAAGGATTCATGTAGCATTTTGGCATCACTGCACCTCAAAGAGGTAACTTCGTGGCTTTCATCCCCAGGGATCTGGCTGCTGCCACAGACCCACCTGTGCCAATTTGTCTGTAAAAGGCTTTTCTTTACCCTCAGTTATCATGGTGCTATGTGTGCCCCTCGGTGGCTCTGAGGACACACATTGCTGCACGTTTTCAGACACAGCTACTTGAATAAAACATGGTTGACCCAGAAAACCCACCTTCTAGATGCCAGTTGTGTATTTCTGTTCCATGAATATGGAGGGCCTTGTTCACCATTCCTGGTTTGTTTTTTTCTTCTCCCTCTGTGTTTGTATGGAAGGCTCCTACAAGCAGCTGGAGTGAAGTGACCATTTCAACCCCCAAGGGGGACTGAAACTGGTTCCATTTCACTTGTCCTCTCCATGACCTACCTCACAGGGGTGTTGTGAGGCTCCAGGAATGCAGAAGTCCTTTGCTCATGCCTGTCATAGCTCTGTCATTTATCCAGGGGCCCAGATGGTGGCATCTAGGGAAGGTTTTCAGCCTGCTGGGAGCTGGGGCAACTCCATTTTGTTCTCAAGATGCTGAACTATGGTAGGAAGAGCAGAGCCTGAGATGGGGTGAAACTGCCCCAGGGGGTCTTGGAGCTTCTCTTTAACACCACCAGGCTCAGAACTGGCAAGTTTGGGTTTTCATTTCCTCCTCAGGAGGTGACAAGGTTCCTTGCAACAAGACAAGTCACAGAAAGAAGGAAAAACTCTGCAACTCATTCAAATCCTTGTCAGTTTTGGGGGATATTTGAACAATAACAGGAACAACAAAATGAACATTCAACAGATTTATTTCTTTGTTAACTCCTGCTCTTGCTTACAGATGAGTTTTGGCCAACAAGACACAATTAATTTATTCTAATGTACTTTATTTTTAATTTATAGAGCAGGCTTCTTCTATGGTAGGAAGAGCAGAGCCTGAGATGGGGTGAAACTGCCCCAGGGGGTCTTGGAGCTTCTCTTTAACACCACCAGGCTCAGAACTGGCAAGTTTGGGTTTTCATTTCCTCCTCAGGAGGTGACAAGGTTCCTTGCAACAAGACAAGTCACAGAAAGAAGGAAAAACTCTGCAACTCATTCAAATCCTTGTCAGTTTTGGGGGATATTTGAACAATAACAGGAACAACAAAATGAACATTCAACAGATTTATTTCTTTGTTAACTCCTGCTCTTGCTTACAGATGAGTTTTGGCCAACAAGACACAATTAATTTATTCTAATGTACTTTATTTTTAATTTATAGAGCAGGCTTCTTTCTCTCAGCAGCCCCAGGAACAGAGCAGGGCAAGATCCTCTCTGGGATGAAGAGCCAAGAGACCTCCCAGGCCTTGGCTCTTGAGCTCAAGATCTCCCTAAACAACCAACATTCCAGAAAGAAAATCAACTGTTAACCCAGAAGAGAACATCCTGGTGGCAACTCACTGTTCTGCATGCAGCTTCATAGCACAGCCATGCTCATCTAGACATTTGAATTGGGTTTATTCCTCCTGGTCCAGGTTTTCTGGTAGGAACATCTCAGGACATGAGTTGTCCTGCTGCTTGTGCTTCAGCCCCAGTGCCCGGGACACCAACCTCTTGGCCACTGCAGTGTCAGTCTGGGGTCTTTCTTTTGCAAGATGAAGGAGTTCTAGGTTCAAAAAAATAAATGGGGGGGGAAAATCAAGTTAGTGTTTGTTCAGGTGGAGTCTTGTGGCTAAATTGAAGAAGCACAGCCTGGTGTCTTGGTCCTTATTTGTTTTACAGAAGGAGCCCACGAGCAAATCATTCCAGCCCTGCCCAGTGAATTGGTTTTGCTTTTAGACATGAGGAGGGAATTCTTGGGTGTGAGGGTGGTGAGAGCCTGGCCCAGGTTGCCCAGGGAAGCTGTGGCTGCCCCATCCCTGGGGGTGTTGAAGGGCAGGTTGGATGGGGCTTGGAGCAGCCTGGGCTGGTGGGAGGTGTCCCTGCCCATGCAGGGGGTTGGATCTGGATGAGCTTTCAGGTCCCTTCCAACCCAAACCATCCCCATGGTTGTGATTTTCCAGTTCAAGAGCTCTTTGGCTGGGATGAAGCTCCAGGCCCTTTCTGCAGAGGTGGAGAGAACTGTTCCCCCTTGGCTTTCAGGAGCAGCTTCCTCATCATTCCTGGCTAAAGTCAGCAAGGCCCATCTCTGAGAACAAAATGAAGGCAACACAGCCCCACCCTCTGACCCATGCACAGCAAAGTCTGATCTCAATTCAGACTCATCAAACCCCCCACTCTAAACCCTTAGAAAACAGGAAAACCTGCATTTCTGGAAAAAAAAAGCTGCTTTGGGAAAGCCCTTTGGCCAGTGACCTCCATGTCCTGGTGCTCACCTGGCTTGCTCCAGTTTCATCTTCAAAGAAATGGCTGGATCAAAACTTGCCCAAGCCCAGACTAGGCTGGAGTTGGCAATTAGCTAATGATTAATCAGCACCTGATGGCAAATGGATGATCCAGTTGGCAATGGGGGCTTTGTTTGCTGTTGTTCCTAAGGTCTGTTCATCAAGGCAGTTCAGCAGCAGCTTTAAAAAGGGGCAAAGCACCCACAGCTTGGGGGATAAACCTGCCCCTCTTCCTTGAGACAGCTCAGAAAAAAAACCCAAAAGAGACACTGTCAGCTAATTAAGATGCAGATTTGTGTTTAGAAGCCAAATGGTAATTAAATGTTGTTGTTTACAGAGTATATATAAATATCAGGCTCCCCAGGAGGAGCTGATCACCTGATTCAGCACCAAGAACCAGGGAGTGTGAAATGAAAAAGAGATGAAGGGGAAGAGTGTAAAAGCAAATCCAATTCTTTGCCGTTTTCATTGAAATTCCAAAGCCTTAAACCCCTCAGGAGCTTCTCCCTGTGACAGTGTCCCTTGCAAACCTGTAAATCAAATGGATTCCAAGTGCAATGTACCCTGGGAGCACCCACCTGGTTGTACCTGCAGCCAAGTCTCTACTGCTACCAAATTCCTGGCACTTCTTTGCTGTGGCAAGTGTAACTGATCACAAGATGATTTTCAAAGGCAATAAAAAGAAATCAAACAATCTTCATGGCTAAAGCTTCACTAGTTGTTTTTCCTTCACCTGACCCTGAATAAAACTGTGCCAACCACAAAATGTAACAGCTGTGGGTGCTGGTTCATCTCTGACCTGTACCTGCTGGTCTCTGTATTATTTATTAGCTTTATTATCTGGTATTATCTGCAGAGAAACTTGAAATCACTCCAGACAGACCCAGCCAGACTTAGAAGCTGCAAAGTCAACAAAAAGCAACAACATTTGATGTTTTTATCATTCATTCCTCATGTAGAAGGGAGAAAGTGACTGAAAAACTTAAACACAGGTACCAACTCTAAGTGATATATGATAGAATCCTATTTTTTATCACCAGATTCACCTTTTCCAGCCCCTCACACCTGCTGCAAAAAGGCATAAATCAGCAGCACTGACTCAGGAATTGAAATGATGACACAAATTGGCTGAAAAGACTGTGAAAAAATGCAGCTGGGGGACTGTATGAAAGGCTTTACAAACTGCTCACTGCCCTGCAATGCCAAGAGAAATAAATATATCAACATATTCTGTGTATTTTATAGGTACATGTGTGTATTTATACATCATAACAGATAAAAAACCCCAAATATTGGTCCTTAATGTGTATTTAACTTGCCCAAGTGACCACTCAGGCTACAAAAGACTGGTAAACAAAGATAAAAGCTTAGTAATAATAATGAAAAAGCTCCCAGATTGTCTTACTTGGTCTCTGAAGGGCCTTGACCTTGGACTGCTTTGTGGCATGGATCAGTGGTCGGATCTTTAAGGAGGGGTAACGTCTGCCCAGGGCTTGGGAGGCTTGAAAGAACAAAGAGTTGGAATGAGCAGCCTGAATTTTGGTGGGTTTAAGAGTAAAAAAATCACAGTGTTATCAATTCTGCTTCATGTCACCTTCAACAGTTCAGGATTTGAGCTCAACCAGCTGGGTTCTGCTCACCTCAGGTTGTTCCTCACCCAAGAAGAAGGCCCAGGAAAATATAAAGTTGTTTTAAAAACCAACTCGGTCATTTTAAGACTGAATCCCAAGGGAAAAAGGGACTACAGACAGTGCTGGATGGAAACTCCCCCTGGGATGGCCTTTGTTCCCAAGCCAGTTTGCCAGGAGGTGTCTTCCCCACGTGCCACTAGACACCAGGAGGCTCCTGTGCCCTTCCAGGAATTCTCCAACCAAGAATAAAAAAAACCTGGGAGTTTCTAGAAAATGCCCCACGAGTGGCTCAGGAAACAAAAGGTGCCCCTGGTGATGATCCAAGCTAATTAAAAATCTGCTGCTCCTGCACAGGAGTTTCCACACATCACCACAGCAGTTCCAGCTTCTCAAGCCTCAAAAGCTTTTCAAGCTTGAAGTGTGAAGGAGGAAAGTCAAGCTGAACACAACCTCCTGTGGCCACAGCTTGGCCTGAGTGCAGGACTGACCCCAGCAGCTCCACAGGACCCTCCATCAGCCACCAAAGGTGTCACAGAGTCCTCAGGGTTGGAAAGAAGCTCTGAAGATCATCTACCCCAAGCCCAAGTGGAGTCATCCTACCTGCAGAGGGGCTGGAGAAGATTCCCAGGGCGTGTGTATCGTCCACCCACTGGATTTTGAAACCACCCTCACTGCAAATGGAAGACAAAAGGTGAATATTCATTACTAAGAAACTGAAAAGGCAACAAAACAAACCCCACAGAACAAACCCATCAGCCACCTCGAGTTCCCAGGAGCACTTTGGGGTTTTTATGTAGCCAGTTGCTGCATTTCAAAGGATTAAACCGGTGGTTACATGAGGGGAAAGAGAAGGAAAGGAAGGAACAGAACACAAGATGTGCTCCTTTCAAGGCAACAATCTGCAATTATCCCACCAGCTGCCCCCAGGAGCTCTCCTTTTCTTTTAAAAAAACAACCCTTGGCCAAAATGAACCTTCATTTCAGGGCCTGTCAAGAGAGTGGTTTGTGTCTTTGTGGCACAAAAATACACCTTGTCACTCAGGTGGTGCTTTCCAAACACCACCCTTCAGCTCAGACATGCCCAACAGAAAGCAGGGGATTTATAGAAGTGGTTTTATAAAGCAGAGGGAGAAGAGGCTGAGGTGACAATCTAATAAAGTGCCAGTGGAAAATGGTAACTGGGGAGCAGGGAGTTCAAAGCTGTTCCTGCAGCACAGGAAATACCAATAAAATCGACTGCTCAGATTAGATCCATCCCTTTCCAGCTCAGTTTCTCTCTCCCAGTGAGTGGAAAAAATACATGAAACTCAGACACCAGACAGTGGCTTATTTAAAATGTGAAGAATGGGGTTTGAGGATCCACAGAGGTGAATGTTCCCATCTCAGCTAGCAGGTGTAGCAAGAGGGTGGTGGAACAAAGGGAGAGGTGCCTGCAGGTGATACACTTGAGCACTTTCATCACTAATATGGGGCTGAACTTTGTTCTGATCCTGCTGCTGATCCTGTGTTACTCCATTCCCCAGAATTCCACCAGAAATCTTATCTCCAACAGCAGGATTGAGCCCTTTTCCTTGCAAAGACTTAGCACAGCATTTCACTCCAGCCCTGGGACCAATTACAAAGAAGCTCCAAGACTCTCCCTCAAGCCAGAGTAGCAGGAATAAACCTGCATGTAGGGAACTGTGTGTGACAAGAGCCCTGGAGAACCTGGTTGTGTTTTAAATTATGTATCAACTGCAGCAAAGTCCCCTTGAAGGTTCAGAAAGACTGAGCAGGAAGGTTGGAACTGAAATTCAGAAACACATCAGATCCTGTGGTGTGTTCAGGTCTGGCTGCTGCTCATGGCCTTGATGTGCTCAGGCTCTCTGAGGTACTCACTGGAAATCTGAGAACACTTCCAGCAGGTGTTCTGTTTTCACTGCTGGGGAGAAGTCATAGATCTCAGTGACGTGGCCAAAATCCCCCTCGCTGAGCTGAGCGTCTCCGTAGCTGGAATAATCAACACTGATCCTCTCAATGTTGATGTCCTTCACTGTTAAATGACCCACAATCTGAGGAGAGTAACAACAACAAAAGATGAAAAAAGATGAGCCAGACAAGATTTCACTTCCTAAAATGATCCCCCAAAGCCCCACCTTGGCCTCTGCAAACCATTTCTGTGGCCACATTCAGCCTGGGGCAGGGACTCTCCTCCCACGGGTTGATGCCACGTCCTGAGCCACCCTCTTTTTTTCCTCAAAGTTGCTCCCCGTGGCAATAGCTGTGGGAAAACACTACCTCTGCCAGGAGCTCTGGGGTGCAGTCCTCCACCTCCTCCTCCTCCAGGCCTCCCTGCCCACGGGCAGCCATGCTGTCCTCCCTGGAGAGCTCAGGCCACGGTGCATCAGCCAAACCTGGCTGCTCCTTTTCCTCCTCTGCTCCGGGGACCTTCCTGCTGGGACCATCCACCCAGGACTCCTCAGGAGCACAGGGGTTGGCACCACCGACCAGCTCAGGTACAGCCAGAGGTTCATTCTGCCCTTCTGAGGGGTCCTGAGCAGGCTCCACCTGGGCAACACTGGGACACTCTTGATCTTGGCTTTCCAACGGGGAGGAACTCTCGCCTTCCTCCACCGCGCCGCCGTTGGCAAAGTCCTTGCCCTGTTCTTCAGGCAGTGACACGTCCCCACCACTCTCCAGGCTCCTGGCAGCAGCTCTGCTCTTATCTTGGTTTTCCAGCACCAGGCACGTCATGCTGGACTCTGCTGCAGCCAGGGCTGTGCAGCAGCTGCTGCTGCTTCTGTCTGACAGGGAGGGATTTTTGCCACACTCCACATCCCGCCTGCTTTGGTCTTCAGCTTGCACTTGGCACAGGATTTTGCTGCCTTCTGGTGTGACACCATTGTCACAGCTCTGGTCTTGCTCTTCTGCTTCCATGGCCTTTTTATTGTGCACAGAAGAAAGGGAATCTGAACAGTCTTTATCTTGACTTTCCTGCCCAGAGATGCCCTCGCTATTCCCGAAGGATGGGACACCCGTGGGGCACGGAGGACATTCCTTGTTTGTGCCATCCTTCTTTTGGCCTGACACACACTCTTCACCAGGTTCCTGCTGCTTGCCAAGGGTCAAGGAGAGACCACCTGAGCTGGATTCTGTCTTCCCCAGCTCCTCCTGGATGTCCCCAACTGAAACTTCAGGGCAGATCTCTTCTTCTTGGGCCACATTCCCAGCGGAATCAGTGCTGGCTGCTCCCGGCCTGTCCCACTTGCCCCACTCCCCTTTCTTCCTCATGGCCTTGGGGACGTAAAGGGCTTTGTCTGGTTTCTTCCAGGGTGGCCTTTTGATCCTGCCAGACCCCACACAGGCTCTGGAGTTGTCCCCATGCATCTCTCCACCGTGTCGCAGCCGCCCGCCCCGGCCCCAGGGCTGCGCGGCCCTCGGGGGTCTGCTCGGGGGGTTGGTGCTGGGTTTCTGGTCATTGGTCTCACTGGGAAGCCTGGGATCAGGAGAGAGGAGCAGAGGAAGCCAAATGATGTGACATGTGTGAAAGAGAGAGAGAGAGAAAAGCAGCAAATCTATGTGGAAGGCAACAAATAGGAGCAAAAAAAAAAAAACACAACAAAGAACCTCTTCCTTCTTCATGACCGAGATGTCACGGAGAAGAGAAGGCTCCAGGGAGACCTTAGAGCAGCTTCCAGTGCCTGAAGGGGCTCCAGGAAAGCTGGGGAGGGACTTGGGACAAGGGCAGGGAGGGAGAGGACAAGGGGGAATGGATTGAAACTGGAAGAGGGAGATTGAGGTTGGAGATGAGGAGGGAATTCTTGGGTGTGAGGGTGGTGAGAGCCTGGCCCAGGTTGCCCAGGGAAGCTGTGGCTGCCCCATCCCTGGGGGTGTTGAAGGGCAGGTTGGATGGGGCTTGGAGCAGCCTGGGCTGGTGGGAGGTGTCCCTGCCCATGCAGGGGGTTGGATCTGGGTGATCTTTCAGGTCCCTTCCAACCCAAACTATTCCATAAGAGCCACCCTCCTCTTTGAGGAGAAGCACCACACCACTTTCATGCTCATAAGTGGGAACCAACAGCCCCCAGCCATGGAAGAAGAAGAACCATGCCATGTAGGAAGCACACCACACCTTACAGCTGAGTGACAGATGACTGTCCTCCTCCTCCATCCTTCTCCCACTGAAAAGCTGCTCAACAAATCCACATTGTCCACGGTCCGATGGATCAAGTACCTGAGGCGACTGGAGAGGGGGGGGAACAGGAGCAGGCTGGAAAGAAAGGGAGGCCAGAGCATCA